TTGCACCATGGGTGGAGGGCCGGAGTTTGCCGATAACAAAGCTACAAATGGTTGAATAAAGAAAGTGTGTGCACGTATCCATCAGCACCTACTATACGGCCCCATTCACACTCAGCATATCGCAAATCGTGCGTTTGCCGCGCGATTTGAATTTTGCGCAATATCGCGCGGTAAATGGTTGCATTGAACAAAGTAGAATCGCACCGAAATCCACTCCAAAAAGGGTCCTGTTGTAGCGACGCACGACCCGCGACAGCGTCAAACAGAGCCCCATTGTCATGCATTGGAGAGCGATATCGAGCGGTAAATATCCGCGCTATCGCGCGGATTACCGCTGGATAAATCGCTCAGTGTGAATGGGGCCTTAAAGTGTATGTAGGCCCAAGTCTGTTTTCTTACATTTTGGATAGAACATGGAAAGGCTAGACCCCCTGTCATGCTATGTATTTGCTGTCTGTGCCCTACTGGGGAGCTAACCCATCACTTCCTGTTGAGTATCCAGAAAAGGAAGTGATTGGAAATCTCCCCAGCAATGCTGTTGGCCATATTTACTGCTTGCTCCCCGAGCCTTGCTTCATAGACACCACCGTCCCCATAAACTGCATCGATAACGGCCAACAAGCCAGAAACATTTGTATGTGGAATGTAACATTGTTTTAATATTGGTCTATAGCAGGGTTAGGCAAACTGCCGCCCTCCAGCTGTGGTGAAACTATAAGTCCCATAATGCATCTGGGAGTCATGCCTTGTGACTGTCAGAGTCTTGGAATGAGATTTTGTAGTTGCACCATAGGTGGAGGGCCGGAGTTTGCCTATAACAAAGCTACAAATGGTTGAATAAAGAAAGTGTGTGCACGTATCCATCAGCACCTACTATACGGCCCCATTCACACTCAGCATATCGCAAATCGCGCGTTTGTCGCGCGATTTGAATTTTGCGCAATATCGTGCGGTAAATGGTTGCATTGAACAAAGTAGAATCGCACCTAAATCCGCTCCAAAAAGAGTCCTGTTGTAGCGGCGCACGACCCGCGACAGCGTCAAACAGAGCCCCATTGTCATGCATTGGAGAGCGATATCGAGCGGTAAATATCCGTGATATCGCGCGGATTACCGCTGGATAAATCGCTCAGTGTGAATGGGGCCTTAAAGTGTATGTAGGCCCAAGTCTGTTTTCTTACATTTTGGATAGAACATGGAAAGGCTTGACCCCCTGTCATGCTATGTATTTGCTGTCTGTGCCCTACTGGGGAGCTAACCCATCACTTCCTGTTGAGTATCCAGAAAAGGAAGTGATTGGAAATCTCCCCAGCAGGGCGCAGAAAGCAAGACCTTATAGTGAGGGGAATCCCTCTGAATCGCTCTCTTAGAGAGTAGTCACCAGTAGACAGTAGAGGAGTCACCTCTCTCTCTCAAGACAACTTGAGGAATTCCTTGTGCTTCCTGTCTCAATGACAATGGTCACCAGGACATATATGTGGTAAACCTCCCCAGCCGGGACAGAGACAGCAATGAAAACTCAGTATCTTTCCTATGCTATCCAAACTTTTATAGCTTTGCCAGAACATTAGCATTGCACCGTTATTCTACAAAATTGCTTTCTCCACTGGTTCACCGATGATGGTAGACTCAAGATTTGGTGGAACACTTTTGCATTGAAAACACCCATTGGAGGTAGAGGTTACCTATCAACCCTTGGATCTTGGAAGTTTGAGTGGTTGGCTTCGACAATAGAATAATACCAGCATGGGGGTCCCCGTCATAGAGTGTGTGCTGGCTGTCTTCAGGGCCAAAGGTAGCCTGATGAAGATTGGACTTGGCCATTGAGCATACATACAGATATATATGTACGTATACACTGAGTGGCCAGATTATTATGACCACCCCATCAGTACTTCGTTGGGCCGCCTCGTGACTCCACGAGATGATGAAAGGTGATGCGAGGAATCTGACACGGCACTGTTACCCTTCTGTTGTCTTGTATCAGTCTTGCCACTCTCCGTTCTGCCCTAACATTGACTAGTCGCTGACGGCCACAATTCGCATTTCCTCTTGTAGCACCCGGAGGTCCAGTGGCAGGGAAAGCAGACGAGGGCTTGGAGTGGTGGCATCTCTTTTTATCCCTTAAAGGTGCTCATGTCTTACAGTTCCCCTCTCCCATCCAGGGTGAAAAATCCTGTCCCAGCCAGTATTGTGCAGAGACTGCTGCTTTATGTGTGAGAGCAGTGGACTCTCCTCAGCAGTCCAACACGGCCCGGGCAGCCACCGCTGGAGCCTTGCATTTACCCAATCTAATGCAACCTTTTGACTAAGGAGCTCTAGATGTGGCTCAGCGGGGGAGTGTCAAGTTGCTGCGTAGAGGCCGCTGATCTCAAATGGAAAGAAGCGATCCTTTCTGCTGCATACTGGGAAGGAGCAGCTAGGCAATCACGCAATCAGCAAATGAGATTCCCTGATTGTGTACCAGTGACGTGCAGTGGAGTCCATTCTCGGTGAGGCATTTCCCCTGCCCGCCTCTGCCCAGCCCATGCCCCGCCCCAGCCTGCTTCCACCCCGCCCCCAACCCGGTCACCGAGCTGTGTGGAGGAGGGAGGACGGAGAAGGGAGGAGACTCCCCGTCCCTCACTTGCTTGTCACTGGTGAGGCATCAAGATCGATGTCCTCACTGTTTTGTTTTTTTTTGATTGGACAGCTTTGCCATTGGCCCAAGCCGTCCACAGAGCTCAAGCCTCTAACAGCAAGCAAAGGCTGTTGCAGCTTTTGCCTCACTAAGTTAGATTACACAAAGCAGTGGGGAAGCCCGCTGCTGTGTAACCTAACTTAGCTGTCAAAAGCCGGATGCAGCACCGTCTTTATTTGACAGGCAGCACTCCGTCCATGACAGGTTACACAGCGGGGAGGATTTCCATGCTGTATAACCTGCTAGAAGTCGATCTGAATGGAGAAAAAGCTGTCAGCTTCAGTTTTGAAGCTGGCAGCTTTTTCCTCCATAGTACTGGGTGAGGCTCTGCCCCACCTACCTCCCCTGACCGCACGTCCCTGTTGTGCACAGAACGCTCTCTGATTGCCATATTGGAAGGAAGTGTCACTTTAATAAGTTGACACTTTAAAAAGAACCACAGTCCCTGCACATGTGATACAGATTAGTCATTTTTTAATAACATTTAATGACTAAATGGCAATTATATAAGATATATAACTAAATTAATGAAAAGGGATTGTACTTTTTTTTATCTCAGGGGTGACTTTTAAAATAAATTTAGGGCCTTGGTGATTGGCCCAGTGCTGTCACATGGGGTTGGAAAATGGATCCTCGGACCTGTGTAAGCTCAGACTAGAAGCTTGCACAGGGCTTCTTTGAATTGCTCCTGGCTAGTAAATGGGGTGTTGGGGAAGTGAAGGAAAGCCAGGCTCAGACTGGGGGAGGGAGGAGCAGCACAAGGAGCCATTTAGTTGCTGAAGTGCTCAGGTGCTAACAAGAAGCATGCTGATAGGAAGAGAGAGCAGACTGACATTGAGATGAGCTCATCATTCTAAGGCTGGGCACACACCTTACAACCATCGCAAGACTTCTGTCTTGCGATGGTTGTAAGGTACTTAAAAAAACGTACGATCTGCCTATGTTGCATAGGCAGATCGTACTTGCGATGATCGCAAGCCACGCCCCCTGAGGGGCGGGCTTCCGATGACCGCAATGCCGAACGGGCAGTGTGCGCTTGCGCACACCGGCCCGTGCGGCTGTTATCGTACGGACATGCCACAAACCCGCCGAACATCGTACGATGCTCGGCGGGTTTTCAAACATGTCCGTAAGTTTAAAGTCGTGCGACCTTACAGTAATAGAGGTCGCACGGCTTCCACACACCTTACGAACATCGTACGATCGCGGGATTTCCCGCGATTATCGTACGATAATCGTAAGGTGTGTGGGCACCCTAATGCTTCTCCTTTGACTGTCCAGTCACAGGATGTGGACGGCTAACTAGTTGTATACCTTTACTACAGTTTTCCTGCCCTGCCAGACAGGACTGTGCTGTGTGTAAATCGCAGGACTGGAGTGACAGAACTACAAATCCTTTGGCAGGTAAAATAGCTCCCTTGCAGTGGTGGAACTATTGCCATGGCGATCTAGGCGGCCGCTATGGGACCTGGGGCACAGGGGGGCCCGGCCAGGACGAGGAACAAAGGGGTCCCCTTAATTCCATGGGTCACTATGGCATCGCAGGCTGCTGGCAGTCACCGGCGGCTGTGAGGAGGAACGTTGCACTGTTCAGATCACTGACAACCTGTCAGTGATCTGTGCAAAGGTGCGTTCCTCCTCACAGCCACTGCTGAGTCAGTGATAGCCAGCAGCAGGGAGGAGGAGTCTGGGACCAGCGTCAGCAGTGGAGGAGAAGGTGGGGCCCAGCGACGGCAATGGAGGAGGAGGCGGGGCCCAGTGACAGAGGAGGAGGCGGGGCCCAGTGACAGAGGAGGTGGGGCCCCCAGCGACCGTGGAGGAGGTGGGGCCCGGTGCTGGAGGAGGCTGAGAGCAGATCGGGGCTGACAGGTAAGAGGTGTGCAGGGGTGTGACCAGCCCACCTGAGACCCTGCAGAGCCCACCATAGAGAGTCTATGGTGGGCTCTGCAGGGTCGCTCTCAGGTGGGCTGTGTGGGATCTCAGGTGGGCTCTGCAAGGGGCGTAACTAGAAATCACAGGGCCCCATACAAAATTATGCTATGGGGCCTTGTGATTTCTAGTTACGCCCCTGCTCCCTTGTACGTATTTCATCTGTGTAGTTGGCTGTTTTCCTGGAGTTGAGCTTTAAATATACCGCCTGAGGATACAGGTACTATAGGTGGGGCTTAAAGGAGTGCAGTAAAAGAAAAGAGTGATACAAAATGTTGTGTAACAATAGGTCGGGTACAATGAGAATAGGCCGGCTGGTACTTGTTACATACACTGTATGGGCCTTGGTTTTGGTAGACTTCTTTCACAGTGTGGGTTGACCAAAAACAGTTTACGTTATGTTGAAGGTTTCCTGAAGACTTTTCATGGCCTGCTCCTGCGTTATATTTTGCCAATCTTCGGGTATGTCCGCCGGTTGGCTACTATAAAACTCTGCAAATTGTTTGTTAAACTCCTTGAGAACATATTTCCAATAATCTGAGGCGTTCAGGCTCCGGTCAGGCTGTATGGACCAATTAGGATAGGCCCAGCGGTATTGGCTGTAGGGAACAAACCTGTTCTCTGTTTTCCCAGTTCTGAATTCGCGGTTTCCTAACACGTCGGTGGTGCATACAACGTTGTCAAGCTTTCTCGTTTGGTGGTCTTTGCATCCTCCCAGCGCCTGTGGGCGATGGATTGAGGCGAAGTGCTCCTGGTGATCCAGTCCTCCTGCCTCGCAGGGAACGCGGCAAAACGGGCACTGCTTCCCGCACCCAAATACCCTTTTGAACAACTCATCCTCCGGCTTCACGGTCAGTTTTGAGAGGACCTTTTTGAAGCTCAAAGAGCTGAACTCCTGCCCTATTTCTACTTCTGTCTTAGGCAGGAAGTCCTGAATGTTGGAGGAAAACTGCTCGACGGACGTCTGGCTCTGGTAGAGTATGGCTTTCACCACTCTGCGAGGGATAACCAGCTCTCTCGCCAACAGGCTTGAAAGTTTCTCCATAAATTTGGAAATATCTGAACTGTCCAGGACTTTGGGATCATTAAGGGTGTTAACTACCTTTCTGGTGATGAAAGAGAGCACCTTAGCGTGCAGTTCTTTCAAAGCCTCCCCTTTTTTGTATTTTTTGTGGATATATTTTGAAATCCATCTATCCACAAACCTCTTATAGTCTAACGTGTAGTCAGCATACTGATTAAAGTTATTATCCAGAAGGAGCGTTTTCAGCAAATCGAACTGGAAAAATGTCCGGCTGCTGTATTTTTGGGAGTCTTCACTCACCAGAATATCGTCCACCATCTCTTTGCCAAGGTTTTTGTAAATGTACTCGGTGATGGCCGGTTTAAGGCACGTGTCGCAGATATTTCTGGCCATTGTTTGGCACAAATCTTTCATTTGGAAAATATTTTGAAATTTGGAGAAGTATTGAGGTTTTAGTCGCCCCAAACACAGCTTTGGGTCATTTTCTTGGACGTAGTAATCGTGCATCATCTGGAACATGGGGGCGGCTCTCCCTAAAATCAGGAGCTTCACGTCTGCCTCAAACAAGTCCGTAGTGTGGAGCTCCTGAAGGTTTTCTTGATTAAGTTCTTTGTTGATCGTGTCCAGGAGGTCCTGACAATGAATCTCTTGATAATCTTCTCCTAGGATGGCCTTGCCTGTTACGTAATCTATACACTTATCAAGCAGCCAGTTCACAAAGCTTGTCAGTTTGAGGTGAAGGTTCATGTAGTCATCTTCTTGACCCCAAAGCCCAACAGTATAATCTGGGTCTACTCTAAAATCTATGTGCTCATATTCCTCTAAATTTTGCAATGTGAAAAGTTTTGCCGTCACCAATCCAGATTTGTTTCTCAAGTCTCTCTGGAGATGTCTAAAGATTTCTTCCTTGATATTAAGCTTTTTCAAACTCACCAAGTTGAATCCTGAGAACGCTTCTTCCCACATTTTTGTAAATTCAAAATCTATCATCTGGCTATTTGGAATAATGTTTCTTTCCCTGTAGTGATCCATGAGGGCACTGACTTTGTCTTCGATAATTTGGTGGCATTGATCCTGCTTGGCTTGCAGTTCATTTTTGTTTTTTTGGATCTTAATGGCGTCTTCAAGCCTGGAACGTAACTGGCTCTCGTATTGACTTCTTAGCAGTTTCAGGCTCCGGAAGAACTCTTCTTTATATCTTTCAATAAGGCCACCATTGTTAGAAGCGTCCTCAAAATACTTTTCCAAGGATTCTTTTGTGCTTGACTCCTCTTTCTGCAGCAAATCCCAGAGTGCAGCATTAAATTTCTCAAACTGGTCCATTTGAAGTGTTCCGGTCTGGTTCCTGATTTCATTCTCAGTCTCGGCCAACCAATGGTAGGTTGCTTTTCTGAACTTCCATTGAAGTTCTGAAAATTTCACAGTCAGTTGGTCATAAGCAGAAGCCACTACACTGTTTCTGAAGCTAAAAATGAAGGTTTCGCGTCGGACATTGTCCCATAGATGTCTTACCCATTGCAAGAAATTATAAATTGTCCGAGAGTTCTTAGGCAGGTGTTTAAGAAATGTCAGCAGGTTTCTTTTAAGTCCATTAACATTTTCACTGTAGCCACAACCTACTGAAGCCATAGGCGGGTCACCACACCAGAGACCAGGAATGTACACGCTGTGATTTTCTAGGTCATGGTCAAGGACGTCAGCAAATTCCTTCACGTCTATTCTTTTTTCCATTTTTGCAGCAAATTTGGTCATCTCATCTAACTGTTGCTTGAATTGTGCCCGTCCTCTTAGGTTATTCCAGTGGGCTGCAATATCACAAACATTCTGATGTACAAATCTGCAGTTGGGCTTCCTACCAAATGGGCTCATTCTTAGAAAAGCGTGGACTACGATCTGCAAGATGTCACTCATCTCCACTACATTTTCCATCGACAAATTAATGAGAGTGATGTCACTTAACCCAACTACCAGCGTTGCAAGCTCATTGTCATGGTCATAACTGCCTTGTAGAGACATATTCTCAGGCGCCTTTAATCCTTCGGTGTCAATCACAAGAATAAAGTGACATCCCAGCTCCTCCTGGAAGTTTTCTTTCACTTTAATAAGCGTCATGAAGGCTCCTCGTGTGCATCGTCCACTGGCCACTGGAAAATGCAAACCGAACATGGTGTTCAGGAGGGTGGACTTCCCGGTACTTTGTACACCCAGGACAGTCACTACTCTCATTCTGCACTGCCCAGCTGTTTTTTCATCCAGCTCAGTCAGAACATCAGTGATCCACTGCAGTGGGACATTGGAGGCATCTCCGTCAATCATCTCCAGTGGAAACCCATCGAGCAGTAGATCAGCTGCTACTCCTGGGAGATGCCGGAACTTCCTCTCGCTTATTTTTAATTTGTTCTCCTGCACCATGAAAGATTCAGCTTCATAAAACTGTGCCAGTTCTCGAATGAAATGTTCAAGGCCTAAGGAGGCCGCAGACTTTTTTTGACCCTCAAGACCTTTGGTATCAAGGCAAGGCGATTTATCGGTGCTTTTATTTGATTTTGGATCTTGCAATTCTGTCGGGTGAGCCGCTGAAATGGAGTCAAGAAGAATCTTCATCCATTTCAGAAAATAACATCTCTCCAAGTGGCTCAACTGAGTCAGAGTCTTTATAAATTTTGCAATATCTGGCGGTAGGCTATGCTTACTCTTTTGTACGAGCAAGTCGTATTTCTCCTTTCTGAGTTGCAAGCTGTATTTCTGTAGGCATTCATCGCCTTGTTTTTTCCTCCTGTGCAATTCCTTATCCGTGTCTGCCAGTTTTTTCCATAGCACCCCCTGAAGTATCATTGTGTTCTGTTTATATGTTTCCACGTCCTCGATTTTCTCCGTAATTTCCAGTGCGTGGCGTTTAGCGGTCAGACATTCCTTTGAATTCTCATCTACACAGATCCTAAACTTGCAGGCCTTGTCCGCCAAGTCTTCTAAGTTAGGCACTTTAGGGAAAGCCTTTATCAAGTCCGCCATGATAAACTGTAACTTTTTCACCACCGTTGCATGGCTGACATTTCTCCTTTTTAAAAGCACCCGGCTTTCATCTATTTTCAGACTTGGAGAAAGTTTCTTTAAATAGTTCTGAGTGACACGGAGTGATTCAGAAGCATTTGATATGACAAAGTAATACTGAGTGTGAGCATCTCCCAGCCTTGACAGCAGCTGGTAATCATCCTCACTAATACTGTCGACGAATATAAAAATAGCCGTGGAGACCTCCGTTAGAAAGGTGAACTGCGTCCAGTTCGATGACACATCCCCTCGTAGGTTGGTAACCATAATGGGCTCTGGAAAAACGCTCCCTTGGCCGGCGGGGAAGTACCAGGAGGTTTCCACCAAGCCATCTGAAATTTTCCGTGGAATGTTCCCGCCTTCCATGTTCCTATGGATGAAAAAAGGGAGGAGCCTCTGGCTGGAAGAGAGAACGTGATTTAGAATGTCTGATTTGGACAAGCTGCAGTCCCCGAGCCTCACGAAGGAGAAGATCGGCATGGAGATGTTGACTATATTTCCTTCCTTGAATCCTCTGTTATCCACCAGAGAGTGAGGTCTCCATTTTTTCACAATGTCTCTCATTGCCCACAACATAAAGGTGTAGCCTGGGCTATCACAGGCAGGGAGCAGCAGGGGGACAGCGAACTGACACATGGACATTTTGGAAACAATCTCTTGCTGTAAGAAACCATCAGAACAATGAAGGATCGCACACAGGACGTCAAGTGGATGAACGTTGCCCACATGGTCAACGTCACTGATTTCCTGATCACAGTTCCCGCTCGAGTTTGATTGCATAAGCTCTGCATTGCGCGCGTTGATGTTTAGAGACATGAGCATCCTTAGGAAAAACCATGGATTGTCCTTCACTGTCTGAAAAGTCATTGGCTTTAAATCCTCTTGCCCGATGGTCAACACTTCACGAAGAGTTATAGCACGGCTTCCATAGTCCTTCATCCCAAGCAGAGACGTGATTTCACAGAAGGCTTTTCTTTTTGCTGGGAAAATGAAAGATATGTCAGTGTTAGTTGTACAAGTAACCAGCGAATGGGGGGCAACAGCTTCTTTAAAGACATTATCAAAGACCAAAGGCTTATCAATATACTAAATAATCTACTAGAACACAGGCAACATTTACAATGGTTTTGATCCATTTTTTTGGTTTGTAGAACAGGACTGAAGTGGAAACACAATGAAGTTCTTCTTCTATTTGCCATGTGGGCCACAGCTTTAGTGTTTCTTTTCTATGCCAATAACTACACTTATTGTGAATCACGAAGCAACACTTGTGGGGGGTTACTATGGAGCTGAAGGATACAGCTGTAGCTTTGGCTAATTCTTCGGCTCTCTGTGGCCACCTCTGACCTTCGGTTCAGTCGAACTGAAGGGCTGCTGTACAGGCTGCTCAAAAAAGCCCGTACAGCAGCCGAGCCGAAGACATATGCTTCGGGTCGACTGAGCAGAAAGTGACAGCCGAAACGTGGAGAAAGGTCGGCCAAAGCCGACCGATCTCCATGCAAATGACAGCTGGGCGGAGCCAGTCGTGATCCCACGGCTCACTCTGCCAAGTTGTAATGACAGATCAGAGTCCCCAAATGACTTGGGAACGCTGAACTGTCATTAAACAATAACAACTGGGCGGAGCCAACTGTGACATCACGGTCGGCTCCGCCCAATTGTTATTCATTGGCCAGGACCTGCTAAAAGACTCTTGCAGGTGTCCGCCAACAGGAAACTGCTGGGCGGAGCTAGTTGTCAGTGCTAGCTCCGCCCAATTGTTTTTCTTTTGCCGGCATCTTTGCCGACATTTTTTAAAATTGTTTTTAATTTTCCTTTTTTTCTTTTCTTTAAACTATTTTAATTTTTCTTACATTTTTAAAATTATTTTTAAACTTTTTTTTTTTTATTCATGTCACTCTTTTTCTATTCTGCTCGGTTCCTCAGTGGAAATGCTTCCTCCTGCCTGCAGCAGACTGATCACTGGGGGAGGAGAGTGTAAGGAAATGCTTCCTCCTGCCTGCAGCTGACTGATCACTGGGGGAGGGGAGACTAAGGTAATGCTTCCTCCTGCCTGCAGCAGACTGATCACTGGGGGAGGGGAGACTAAGGTAATGCTTCCTCCTGCCTTCAGCAGACTGATCACTAGGGAGGGAAGACTGAGGAAATGCTTCCTCCTGCTTGCAGCAGACTGATCACTGGGGGAGGGGAGACTGAGGAAATGCTTCCTCCTGCCTGCAGCAGACTGATCACTAGGGAGGGAAGACTGAGGAAATGCTTCCTCCTGCCTGCAGCAGACTGATCACTGGGGGAGGGGAGACTGAGGAAATGCTTCCTCCTGCCTGCAGCAGACTGATCATTGGGGGAGGGGAGACTGAGAAAATGCTTCCTCCTGCCTGCAGCAGATTGATCACTGGGGGAGGGGAGACTGAGAAAATGCTTCCTCCTGCCTGCAGCTGACTGATCACTGGGGGAAGGGGAGACTAAGGAAATGCATCCTCCTGCCTGCAGCAGACTGATCACTGGGGGAGGGGAGACTGCCAAAATGCTTCCTCCTGCCTGCAGCAGACTGATCACTGGGGGAAGGGGAGACTAAGGAAATGCATCCTCCTGCCTGCAGCAGATTGATGACATTTTTCTTCCAGATAACAACACTTATCCAAGAACCCCTTGGTTAGACAACAGCTTTTTAATAATGAAAGGTAGAACATGATACTGTTTTCTTATATTGTGATATGTCAGGGATTTTAGTCGTACGATCTTTTAAAGTTGCTGATAGGTCCACTTTTAAAATGCTCAAACTCTTGCTCAAGCCCAGTTGCGACTGGGGCTCTCTACATCTATGACCAAGGATGGACATGGCCATCTCTAAAATGAGGCAGCCTGAGGGGGTTGCCTTAGGTGGCATCTCACAAAGGTCACATGGGGTGGCGCTAGGCGTGTCCAGGGGGGGCATATCTGCCGCGAGGCCAACAAGGCGTTTGCCTGGAGCGGCAGATTCCCTGAGAGCGGCAATTACTGTGGTTCTGGTTCTCTCTCCTTGATAAATTTATTCATCAAGGGAAGAGAACCGGAGGCTACAGTAGCGGCGGGGACGAGGGCGGCCGGCGGGGACGAGGACGGCGGGTTGCGGCGGTGTCCAGCAGGCAGCGGCGCTTTGAGAGGCTACAACCTCTTAGCAACCCTTGATGACTCTCTGGCTGGCGTCCAGACTAGCTCCAGGTAACCAGTGACATCAGTGTGCTGGGCGGGATGCTGTGCAGAGGTACCATGCACCCCCTGTCCCCCACGCACCCAGTCTCAGGTGTGGGGACGTTCCTGAGGACAGGACATGGAATAAGTGGTTGTACATGATCTATAACACTCACCATTAGACAGGTCAGACAAGGCTGGGAATCGGAGTATCAGCTTCTCTAGGTGAAAGAGGAATCTCTGGCAGGCGGACTCTCCTTGCCGTACGATGGTGTTTAGGACTTCATTGAGTTTATCTCTGGTGCTCCATACAGCAGAACCCAGAGGGAGATCTGGTGGTCTGATGACGTTCAGTGATTTCAGCTCATTGCTGAGACGACTCAGATCATCCTCGGGGAACTGGCAGAGTATTTCTTTCAGGCGGTCAATGGCCCGCGATGCCTCTTCACAATAAGCCATGGTCTCCTGGGCGAGACAATCTGAAAGATCATTGCAGTATTAACATAGGCGTGCAAAATTATTAAACATCAAACTTTTATTATTCACCATTTTTAGACATGACATTGAACTGACTGGCCAAGAAAAAACTCATACGCATTACATCTCTGCAATACACACACATTTCCTCAAGTGTTGTCTCTTTAAAAAGGCTGCAAGTACCAACAGGTCCCTACCAGAAATCTAGTGAGCTCCTAATTTCATATAGCGAGCTGACCATGCTACTTCTGCTGCCCTGAACCCCCAAGCAGTGTTACCAGCCCTGCCTGACTTCCCCAATGCTGGGCTACAGTACACATCCCCCTTAGCTCTGCCATGCAGCATTGCAGAGGTGCGGTAGGGTGCATTGTAGTGTGCTGAATGGGCTGCCCACCGCACCTAAATTGCACTGAAAGAATTTCAAGCACCTCTTTTTAAAAAAATTGCATGGCACCACATCGCATAGGTCACCAATAGGTCATGTGGTGTGATACAACACACATGCGACGGCTAAGTGTATTGGGGTGCCATTAAAAAATAATGGCGCTGTAACGTACCTAACATTGCCAAAAGAAATCTCACCGCTCCGATTCCTGAGCCACCATCAGGACTCCCCAGGTGCTGGTCTAATAATTGAATTTGGAATTTTGGAACATGTTCGGCTGAACCAAAGCCAGCTAAATCAAGCCGATGTACGGCTGAAATCAGCTGTACAAGCCTGAAGTGTATAGCCGAGCAGCGTTCAGGTCACTTCACTTCGGGTGGGTTAAATATTCACTCGGCTGCCTTCGGCACCTTTGTGAGTAACCCTCTAATTGTTTTCAGGATTTATTCTTCATAAAATGGATACATGTGGAAGGATAATCCAAATCAAAGATCGATATTAGGTCTTATCTCTGCTTATAGTACTTTGGAACTCTGAAAGTCCCAGTAATGGTATACAGAGGTAGTTGGGATGATGGTATCCATCGATCAGTGAATTGATTTACATAGTCCACCTATATAATCTATGTTGGGGGAGGACCGGGACTGACAACACTGCTCAGGATTTCAGCTCGGGGGTTATTCATATTTCTAATTCCCATTTATGTGATGAAACGCCATTTTTACCTGTGAATTCCAAGGCTTTGTGATGTTGACCTGCTTTGACTAACTTTGTAGCGGTCAGGGAACTGTAATATGTAAATAGTAACTTTAGTTCCTCATCATGGCCCCACCACCTCCAGCACATCACTATTAATACATTCTTGTGGTGGGTAACCTCACTGACCAATAGTGTTTATAGGAAAACCTCACTGACCAATAGTGTTTATAGGAAAACCTCACTGACCAATAGTATTTATGGGAAACCTCACTGACCAATAGTATTTATAGGACAACCTCACTGACCAATAGTATTTATGGGAAACCTCGATGACCAATAGTATTCCATTGACCAACAATGCAAGGGGACATTTCCCTGACCACCAATGCAGGGGAGGGGTTTCCCACTGACCAATAATGTAATGGGACATTTCTCCACTGGCCACCTATGTAAGGGGCATTTTGCCAACTGACCACCAGAGTAATAGGGCTTTTCTTCAACTAACCACCAGTCCTAGGGGGGCCTCTTTGCATTGACCACCAATGTAAAGGAACATTATAATGTAGGAAGTACATTTCCACAAACTATTAATGTAATAGGACATTTCTCCAATGACACCAATGTAAGGGGCAATTACTGTATACTGATGGTCACCATTGTAAGGGTCCCAACACACCATACGATAATCGGCATAGGCAGATCGTACGTTTTTTTAAGTACCTTACAACCATCGCAAGACAAAAGTCTTGCGATGGTTGTAAGGTGTGTGCCCAGCCTAAGGGACTCTTCTCCATTGATCACCGATGTAAGGGAGCAATTCACCTTCCACCAATATATATATCCTCTGACTAATAATGTAATGGGACATTTCTCTACTGGCCACCAATGTGAGGGAACACTACGATTTTTGCTGTCTGAATTTCCGACTATTATTTTTACCATAAGATTATTATTATTATTACAAATAATTTTGCAGTACAGAGAAGCCCAGGTTGTCAGAAATGCTACGTTCCTTATGTTTTAATGTTCCAATGTAATATTCACATGAACATGAGCTGCAGATAATAATTATAATAATAATAACAATAATAACAACAATAATAATAAGAGCAATAATACAAAATAACAATAATAGCAATATTAATAATAAAATATAGTATTATTATTATTAATAATAATAATAATACTACTAATAATAATAATAATAAGAGCAATAATAAAAAAATAACATCCCACCGAGAAAATTTTCAACAGGTCTGAAAATCTCTCAAAGATAAATCAAGAATAAAAAATTGGAGTAATTCCCAGCGCAGGTAACAACAGGTCGGCTTTTTTTGTAGCGACACTTTCTAGGACGTGTTATATCTCCATCAGCGGCAAGCAAACTCTAAGGGTCTCTTTATAGCCTTTATATCTGAGGTGTATGATCATCATTGATTTGCAGCCACAATGAGCTTTGGTCACATATTTGTCTTTAAAAGAGTAAATGGCAATGGATGGGTTCCCACACATGCAGGAGTGTCAAAAATAAGCAACAACAATCGAATAAAATGATATTAAAAAGGAAAAGCCATTGTGAGGTGTGAGGGCAGCAATACTCCAATCTGATTCTATTACCAGCCAGTGCCGAGTCAGTTCTATGCATGTAGAATACTTTTCATTACCTCTGTCCAGTGAATCAGCCTTCGTCCGGACGCATTTCTCTACGTCATGTTGAACAGACGTGTTTTTCTTTTACCTTCTGAAGTGGACGGCTGCGGAGACCCTTTGCACAAGGTGTGTTCTTTCCGTGTGTCAGGTGAAATTTGGCATTTCGCACCCACGGAAGCGGGGCCTCTATCACTTAAAACTAAAAAAAATCCCCTCAGTAGAAAAACACAATGGAACTTTCCGTAAAGAAAAGAAACCAGTTAGACAACTTCTTGCAGGAAGAAATGTATTGTAAAAAAACAAAAATAGCGATGGCGTCATCATATGCACAGTTCATGCTAAAGGTAAAAGTGTGTCTCTGCCCAGACAATGGACAATAAAGGAGAACTATGGGGTCAGTGTTTTCCCCCATTGGTCTCCTAAGGGTAACGGGAGGGCATGAACTAACGTCCTCCCGTGACCCAAAGCTCAGTATATAGCGAGCTACAGCTCACAGTATACTGAGACCGCCGCAGCAGAGACGGATCCCGACATTACTGTCGAGATCCAGCCAGCTGCGTGATTGACAGCTGGCTCTGCCTATCTAGAGGCAGAGCCAGCTGTACTCGCCCCCTCCCCTCACCAGGACAAAAAATTAGGGGATTCCACCATTTACAGCTGCCGGAAAGCAGAAGTAGAACACTCAATCTCCATTTACATCCTGTTGGGCCACTGGGACAGGAAGTGAGGGGAAGTCTCTTCAGTGGACCAAAGAGTATAAAACATGAGCATAGTTCTAAACCTTCCCCACTCTATTCAAAGCTAAAGAAAGGCTTTGGCTTGAGTTGTACCTTAAAGTAGTATTACGTTCTGGGCGTTTTTTACCATAATGCATTCTCTGCATTAGGGTAAAAACAGCCCAGCACTTTTTTTCTCCCCCAGTCCCCCCCACACTTACCTGTCAGCTGCTCTCATCCCCGCCGCCGGTCCCGAAGCGATCCTCCTTTCCCCGAACTTTCGGGTTGCGGGGGGGGGGGATACTTATGGCAGAGGAGCCATAGGCTCCTCTGCCATCAATCAAAGAGGGAAAGGGCGTGGCCTGCCACAGTGCTGTGTGTGCCTATGGACGCACACAGCCACTGTTGAAACGAGTGCGCACGAGTGACCTCAATTAGAACTATGTTGGCACCCGTGCAGGGGGCGGGGAGAAGAGCGCTGCGGGGACCCACTACAAAACAAGGAATGAAAAACTTTTAAAGAAAAAAAGCAACAGCATCCAGCAAAGGAGAGTCTCCTTAAAGGAGAACTATGAGGTGAGTGAAAATCACTCAGCCCCATAGATCGAGCCGACGTGTGACAATGAGACTGTCACAGGTCGGCTCAGTAGATCGGGAAGTGAGCGAACACATACCGTCGCTCGCTCACTTCTCAATCATGTCCCTGCAGAGAGGCTCCCTTCAGGGATTCCCCATCTCCCCGCTCCGATCCTCCAGCACTGACTGGCGGAACGGACAAGGGAGGGGGCGGGTACAGCTGGCTCTGCCTCTAGGTAGGCTGAGCCAGCTGTCAAGCAAGCGGCTGGGTGAATCTCGACAGTAATGTTGGGATCCGTCCCGGCTGCGGCGATCTTAGCTGTAGCTCGCGGTATACTGAGCTTTGGGTCATGGGAGGACACTAGTTTGTGTCCTCCTGTGACCCTTAGGAGAACTATGGGGAAAAACACTGACCCCATAGTTCTCCTTTAAAGGAGAAATAAATAAAGAATGAGGCTTTAATATCACTTTAAGCATGCAAGCCATAACAGGAATCCATATGTAAAAGACACTCGTTAAACAGAAGAACGCACGCATTGAGTACACAGCAATCCCACATAATAAATGTCACTTCTGTTGGTCAAGTTTATTTATTTTTAAAAATAAAAACGTCTTTATTAAAACATAGAGAGATACGTGAAAAACACGATCTCAATTTAACCATTGCACAGCAAGCGGTACATAGAAATGCTCTGCAAATCCAGAACAGTAGAAGTTTAGTGCAACAACGGCGAAATGTATATTTCAATGTAAAAATCGTCAGTCCGGGCAGCAACCGTGTAGGATATGAGCAACAGGCCATGAGTATCATGACTAAGAGAGCATGTGCATCTCCATCCCCAGTGTAAATCTGGTCGGAAGGAATCACAGGGAGAGGGAGAGGTACAGAGACCTACAGAGAATACATTTTAAAAAAGGCGTACGAATGCATAGCTAGATTCCTATTGGCTATTTCACTTTGCAATAGCCAATAGCAAGCTAGCTATTGCACCCACCCTCTGCTGCTTTCAATCACCAGAAGAGGACCTGATAGAAAAATTCAGGTCCCACTCTGCTGATTGACAGCAGCAGTGAGCGGGTGCATTAGCTAGTTTGCTATTGGCTGTTGCAAAGTGAAATAGCCAATAGGAATCTAGCTATGCATTCGTATGCCTTTTTTTTTCTTTTCTGACTGACGGTCAGGCCGCGGCTCCCGATGTCAGAAGAGATCTAGCAGATTAAACCTTTCCGGGAGGAAGTGTTTCTCTCCTGGGCGGCCGGGAGCCACTATCTAATAGCGGGAGACTCCCGGAGCTTCCGGGAGAGTTGGGATGTCTGTAATGTATATGAGCAAAGTAGAAACCGAGAAAGAAGGTCAAAGACAAGGGAGAGAAGAGCAGAATGGGGGGAGGTGAGGAAGGACACACACATGGCCGGACAAATAACATACCACGGGGAGGGTACATATAAGGGTAGGAAGCAGAGGACAGTGAGGCTGAGGGGGAAGGCAGGTCAAGTTTGTTGAGTACATTTGCAGCATGGATTGATCGGAATAGTTCAGTGGCTCTCTTAGCCATTGTATACCCATCGTTCTATACCAAATAAAAAGTCTCAGTCACCTAAAATAAATATCAATGTTCCTGACAGAGCTATCTTTAGTTGATAAAATTTAAACTTGAGATATTCCTACTAAGCACACCGTTTAAGCAGATGTTACCTTCAGTGAAACAACATGTCACAACAATCAGAAGATCTAGAGATAGGGACTGTCTAGTCTAGCTTGGCCCTATCCTTCCTGCCTCTTCTTTGATGGGCAGCCTCACTGACCAACAGGAAGACTCTGGAGTAGCTAAGGCAAAGTCTGAGTCTGGCAGCCAATGTTGAGCTTGTTATATATCTTCAGCTGTCTATATTTCTGGATCTACAGATCATTTTGATACATGATTTCCATTAAATAACCTCTACTTAGGTATTCTGTCAGCATATGCGGTTGCAGTTCTAGACACAAAATCTAAGGCGCAACAGTTTGATTTTTCTAATAGCAGAAGTCTCTATGTTAGAAGGGTTTTTCTCCATCCAGAGCCAGGTGGTCAATGGGTTCAAAAATATTCTCCATCCCAGCCAAGTGCATAGAGTACGCTATAGAGAGTTTTTCTTGAAAGAATCGTAGCTGAATGTCCAAAGTCTATGGGCACCTCTAGTCTTCAGAGGTCATCAGCAACAGCCACTGTGATGTTCAGTGATTCTTGAAGGCTCTTCATGGCTTGCTCTGCTGTAATGTGGTTCCACTCTTCCGGGTACTCAGCCGGCTGTGCCCGGTATTCCTGAGCGAACTGTTCATTGTACTCTTTAAGTACAAATTTCCAGTAATCAGAAGCCTTGATTGACGGATCAGGTTGAATAACCCAATCGGGGTAAACCATGTGATAATTTTTGAAAGGGTAAACCTTGCCCTTAGTATCTGAATTTGAAAACATTTTGCCTTCTACTACACTGGTGGAGCAAATGGAGTGACTGAGGAAGGAGGTCTGTTCACTTCTGCAGCCTATTAAACCCTGAGGTCGGTGTACAGATGCAAAGTGCTGATTGTGAACTGCCCCTTCAGCTTCACATGGAGCTTTGCAGAATGGGCACTGCTTCCCACATCCAAACACCTTCATGAACAGTTCTTCCTGAGGTTTTAGTGTCAGCTTGCGAAGTACAATCTCGAAACTTGACGAACCGATCTCTTGTTGTAAATCTTCTACAGATTTATCAGTAAAGTGCTTAACATGGTTCTGAAATCCCTCAACAGAAGATATTTCTTGGAGCATGCTCACGTGGAGATCATCCATGGAGATCGCCAAATCTTTCCTCAAGATGTCACAAAATGTAAACAAAAACTTGGACACTTCGAGACTTTTTGTAAGTCTCGGATCGTTCAGCACCTCAAACACCCTGCTTTTAATAAAGGTGGAAACTTTTGTAATTAAGTCCTCCAAACCCCTGTTGACTTTATACTTATCTTCAAGGTGATTTAAAATCCATCCTTTCACAAACTTCTCATAGTCCTTAATGTAACTGTAGTAATCACTAAAGATTTTGTTTTCCAGTAACTCTTTTAGCACAGAGAACTGGAAGAGCGCCTGACTGCCGTATCTCCTACTTTCATCCGTAGCCAAAATATCATCCACCATTTCTCTACCAAGAACGTTATAAATGTATCCTGTTATTGCTGGTTTCAGGCGGGACTCGCAGAAAAGTTGAATCTGGTTGAAACACGTATTTTTTTTGTGACAGATTTCCTTAAACTGTTCAAAGTATTGAGGTTTCATTCTCTCCAGTTGATTCACGAGGGTATTGTTCTGCAAGAAGCCATCGTACATTCCCTGAAACGTAGGAGTCAGCTTTCCAAAAATAAGAAGTTTTATCTTCAGTTCGAACCAAGGTGTCGTTTGGAGTGTTTGGAAATCATCCTGGCGGAGACCAGAATTGATTATATCAAGAAGGTCTCGGCAGTAATTCTCATGAAAGTCCTTGTTTGCTTTAAGTTTCTCTGCCACATAATGCATACATGTTTGGTATAGTGTATCGTATTTATGCTTTAGAATGCTATGGGACATCTCAGTTTGATTTTTGTTGGACTTGCCAATGTATTTCGACTTCATTTCAAACACCTTGCCTGCGTAGTCGCAGAGTTTTTTGCTGTTTATTGACTTTAAAACCCCGGCGTCCACTTTGTCCCTTAAGTCTTTTTTAAGTTCAGTTAGGATTGTTTGACTGATACTTTGTTCCTGCGACATAGATGGTAATGATTCCTTGAGGGTCTCCTCCCATATTTTTTTAAAAATAGATTTCAGTTTTTTCTTTCTAACGTTAGAGTTGCCTTTTCTGTGAAACTCACCGGCTTTATCGGCGATGGCTTGGAAGAGTTTTTTCTGTATTTTGTCTAACTCTTCTTTCCCTTTTTGAGTTCGTATAGCTTCCTCAAGCCTCTTACATAAGCTGTCTTTAAGGTTACCTTTGACATGCCTTACACTCCTCTGAAAGTCCTCTTTATACCTCTCTATCAGTCTAACATGTTCGGCATCTTCTTTAAAGAACACGTCCAATGATTTGCACATAAATATTTCTTCTTTATCTAGAACTTGGTACATTTCTTCAATGATTATTTTATGCATATTAGGTTGGAGATTTTCCATTGTCTGGTTCATAATTGCATTCTCAGCTCCAACAGCCCATTGGTCCATTGCCTTCCGGAAGTTCCACTGCAGTTCGGAATATTTTAAAGAGAGCTCATTGTAGAGTTTGGCGACTAAGCTGTTTCTGAAACTGAAGATGAAGCTTTCGTGTTTAACAGAGTTCCATAAACTTTTAATCCACTCTGACAAATCATTAAATTTCTGGGATTTCCTCACTGGCTGTTTGAGAATTTGGAGAAGATATATCTTGAACTCATAAGTGGCAATGCTGTATCCAGAATTTATTGCAGCCATTGGTGGGACACCACACCATAAGCCTGGAATGTACCAGCTGCTATTCTCTATGTTATGTTCCATAACATCGGAGAAGCCTTTTATGTCCAGCTTATTTTCCACTTTTGCTACAATTTTTGTCATTTCGTCAAGCAGGTCCCTGAGTTTCCTTCTGTCTCTTCTGTTGTTTTCATGGGCAGACACATCACTGACGTTCTGATGCACAAAAACACAGCTAGGCCTCTTTCCAACTGTTTTCATCCTAAGAAATGCATGGACTACGATTTGCAATATATCCTGCATGTCTGTTGTATTTTCCATGGACACATTGACTATGGTAATGTCACTGAGCCCTATAACTAAGGTGGCCAACTCATTGTCATGCTGGTAAGTGTTCTCCAAAGAAGCCAGTTCAGGAGCTTTCAACCCTTCGGTGTCAATCACCAGAATGAACTGACATCCCAGCTCCTCCTGGAAGTTTTTCTTCACGCTAATGAGAGTCATGAAGGCTCCTCGTGTGCATCGTCCACTGGCCACCGGGAAATGCAAACCAAACATGGTGTTGAGGAGGGTAGATTTACCTGTACTCTGTACCCCCAGGACGCTTATTACTCTGAGACGGCAATGCCCTCCTGTCCTTTTATCCAGCTCCAACAAGATATCACTTATCCACTGCAGTGGAATGTTAGAAGCGTCTCCATCCATCAGCTCCAGAGGAAACCCATCGAGCAGTAGATCAGCTGCCATTCCTGGGATATCGCTAAAATTTCTCTCGGTTGTATTTATGGCACGATCATTTTCGATAAGACATTCAGCTTGATAAAACTGCCCCAGCTCTCGTATGAAGTGTTCAACACCAAGGGAGCTTTCCGATATTTTCATGTCTGTCGTTATTATTTCATCTGAACTTGCTGACCCATTTTTGAGTTTATTCCTGTATTTGGTCTCTAAATCTGAAAGATTACGGCGTGAAAGCGAATCAAGGAAAATCTTCACCCACTTGAGGAAAAAGTGCTTCTTTGATGGCGATGAATTTGTGAGCATTTCCTTAAATGCAACTATATCCTGCGGGGGAGTATGCTGATTCTGCTGCCTCAGCAATTTGCCTCTTTTCTTGTTAAGCTTTGTTTTATAATGTTCTCCATCCTCACCATGTTTTTTTGTCATTCGGCACAGTTCCTTCTCCGTGTCTGATAGCTGTTTCCACAGATCTCCCTGCAGTTTCATGTTTTCCCTTTTGTATTTACTCACATCTGATATATTTTCAATAATTTTCAAAGCTTGAGCTTTTGCTGCTTGGCATTCCTCAGAGTTCTCATCCACACAAATTCCAAGTCTCCCCGCTATATCCTCCATCTGCTCCAGGGTCAGACTGTGCGGAAATGTGCGCGCTAAATCTGAAATGATGAACTGTAGGCTTTTAACGAGTCTTGCATCATTAACCTTGGCTGTTTTTGCTAAAATTTGCTTATCATCTAAGTTTAGAAAAGTATGAAGCTTTTTGAGGTAGTCCCATGTAGCGCCCTTTGTTTCAGAAGCCAGGGAGACGACGAAGAAAAATTTGGCGTGGATGTCCTTCAAACCTGACAGCAGTTTGTATTCGGCCTCACTAATACTATCTGCAAATATGAAAATTGCTGCTGATATATTATTTAGGAACTTAAATTGTTTATAATTAGACATGATGTCTCCTCGTAAATTTGCAAAAGCGATGGGCTCTACAAAAACATCCAAGCCTTCCTGACCTGTGGGGAAATGCCAAGAAATTTCTACCAAACCGTTAGAGAGCTTCTTTGAAATGTTGCCACCTTCCATGTTCTGGTGCATAAAAAAGCCTAAGAGCCTCTGAGGTGGGGAGATAATTTGATTTAGGATGGCTGACTTAGACAAGCTGCAATTGTTGAGTCTCACAAAGGAGAAGACAGGCATGGAAATCCTCACCACGCTGTCCTCTCTGAATCCATTTTTATTGTCTAACGATCGTGTTCTCCATTTTTTCACAATGTCCCTCATTGCCCACAACATGAAGGTGCAGTCGTGGCCGTCACAAGCTGGGAGAAGCAGTGGCACGGCAAACTGGCACATGGACATTTTGGACACTATTTCCTGTTGTAAGAAACTATCAGATAAGTTCAGGAGGACACATAGGAAATCCAGGGGATGGATTTCCCTGAACTGTGTACTGTCGTTGGTTTCCATATTGTCACTATTTATACTCAGACTGGACTGAGATCTGATAGGTTGTGTCCTCCTCGCATTCAAATTCAAAGACATCAAGTTTCTGAGGAAATAAGAAGGAATGTCTTTCTCTGTCTGAAGGAGGATGTTTTGAAGGCTTTCAGGACCCAATGACAGGACGTCACTCTTCGTAAGCTTGGAAGTTTTGTATTGGTCCATTCCTGTCTGTGATATTATTTCTTCCAGAATTATGAGTTTTTCTGGAAAATAAATGCATAATATAACATTTAGCAAAGAAAGAATAAAATATCAACCAATTACTATGAATAGATGCAGTTCTACAGTATACCTCCATGCAGGGCCAAAGCTGGGGG